TGATGTACTTACATCTTTGGCTTTATGGGTGCTTTGAGAAGCATTGTGTTTGGGAAGAAGGAACAGGAACAGATAAAATTATTTTAAGCCCGTTTGGTACACCCTCTAGTCTCATCACAGCTAAGCATACATTGGAGGAGAATAGCCTTGCTGAATCTGCTAAGTGGTTCCTACTTTTTGACAAGCCAAAATTATTCCACTTGGGTCAGCCTCGCTGCTAAACAAAGCCGACAGCATAGTCTAATTCACCTGGGTTTGGACTTTTCTTAGACAAATAGCCGGAAGCTCGTGCATGCAAAAGACCAGTCAAGACCAGAAATTAGCATTCTCTGTTGCCTGCTCCCAACTAAGTTCAAAGAAAGCACTGGGCCCAGCCAAGAAGAAGTGAGATCTTTTATAGAAGCCCTTGAATCCCGAGGGACTCGCCTCAGCTCTCTTGTGGAAGTCATGGCTACCCCTAAATCTACTATCATCTCTTTGTGTTACAGAAATTTATGCAATGCTGGTTTCAGTGGGAGCAAGCCAAGAGGCAGGATTTCCCTTTGAGGCTGGTCTGCAAGAAAAGGTGGCATAACAGTTGCACAGTATAGTGCCAACTTTTACCCAGTATTTTCTATGATTTAAATGTCAAGGCAACTTGGCAGGGATGAACATGCCAAAACTGGAAGAAGAAGAAGGAGAGGGGGGGGAAGCAGTCAGTCTCAAGAACACTGATGTTGTTTATTTACCTCCCGCTTCAGTGCCAAATCCCTTTAACTATGCGCTCATAGGCATTGGTATTGTAGGGGACGTTTTGTGATTAGTACAGCTACAAGCAGGTGCATGCACGTCTCTATCTGCTGGTGGCGCGCACTAATTAATGGTAGATGACAAGAAAGGGGAGAACTAAAAATTTAAACTAAAATCTACGATGAAAGCACCCATGCAGGAAATCACAGGACTGGTTCAAGTCCCAGCTGTAATTACTGTCTACACATCTCGGATCTCGGATCTTTCTTTTATTTTTTCTTTCTTTTTTTTGGATATAAGTTTTTGCTGTATATCCTCTAGTAGACTGGCATGTACTATATAACCCAGTCTGACTTCCAACTCACAACAGTCCTCTTGCCTAACCCTCCCAAGCGCTGGTGTTATAGGCATGTACCTCAAGCTTGCATATGTATCTTGTCTTTATGTCTTAGTTCCTGCAACTGTAAAATGCTGCTACTAATCACTTACTCTGCACAAGAGCTTTGCAAGGGATAAACTAGGAAGAAAATGACTTCTCAGTACAGGTCATCCCTAACTTGAGAATTCAAAACCTGAAATGATCACTATCCAAAACTTCTTGAATATCAAAATTATACCATGAGTGGAAAATTCCATACCTGACATCACGTGATAGGTCTCAGCCCAAACACAGAGCATTCAAAACCTTGAAATTAATCACCAAGCTGTATGTACAAAGGGTATATGCAAAATGAATTTCCTATCTGCAGTATATCTTCTTATATATCTGCAAATAGCCCAAAATCAAACCCAAACAAAATAAGCAACAGTAAGAAAAAGTCAATGTATTTTCATAAAAAATGCTGAACTTCCGATTCAATAATAAAAATGAAGAGCTCAGGAGTGCTTTACTGGCCATATTCTGGAAAGGGCTAACTAAACCAGACTCATCTGGAAAATGGACACTTAGGGATAAAGACTTTGCACATACACTCTACTTCCAAACCGAGGAACTTGCTTTTGCAGATTTGTCAACTTGAACATGAATAATCTCAGATTCAAGTGTAAAAGGAGATGCTTTGACAAGAAAACACAGGGCAGCCGTGTTCTGCTCCAGTAGCTTGCTAGCCCAACCCTTAGAATCCTGTCTGGATCCCGAATACCTCTGAACTGAGAGCCCTGGGATGTGGGGGCTCCATGCCTGGGAAGCCAGACTTTGAAACTGTTATTAATAAAGGAAAGGTTGACTTTCCCCACAAGAATCATAGAAACATTCCATGGTCTCAAAGCCATGCCAGACATACTGTAAGAAGCAGATAACCAAGAAGAAAGAATGCCAAGATTAAAGAGTGTGTGTGTGTGTGGGGGGGTGTCTTCTACTTAATGGATTATCAACCCTTCATAGGATCTTTGAACACACATTCGTATGGCTCCTGCCAGTGCTCTCCGTTCCAATGAGTCACCCATGGAGATACCTTTCATAGTTACCAGGGACTATTCTCTGGCTAGTAAGACTCTGGGGTCCTGAAGGGAAAGAGCAGGCCCTGTCACGTCAGCCTGCAGGAAGAAACATTCCTTTCTGAGTCAAACTATCCTAGCCGTGGCTCCCTTTGAAGTTAGGATGGATTCAATAGCAGTCTTCATCACTATCTGGTCTACACACTGGACTTGACAAAAAATAAGTATTTTTAAAAGCGCTGGAGGGGAAATTGTATAAGCCTTCAATGCACAGGGAAAAAGAGCCCAAACATGCCCTATTAATTGTCAGCACATGCTTGACAAGGAGAAGTTTTTGAAGAGTCTTCTAACGGTGCATGTACCCAACCAAACTGGCCTTATCGACTAGTATGCTAATGTGTATTTATGGCTATATGCAAAAGGGTGTGTGCTTAATTGCTACTAAATCTTCTATGGCTGAAGGCATAAGCCCATGCACAAACCAGAAAAATATTATCTGTTGTGGTTCATGCCAACTACGAAATGGATGGCAGCAGCCTCACCAGGCTTGCTGCCTAAGTGTTGTTGCTCCAGAAGAGAGGAGCTTCTAGCCAACAAATAGGGTGAGTGGGTGAGTGAGTGAGTGGGTGCCTAAATTTTAAGCAGGGTTTACTCCACTCAAAGGAGCTTCAGCCAAAGAGAGCCACTCCTCCTCCCCCACACCACCACCAATGAAATCTCCAAGGAGAACTGGACCAAGAGTCTCACAAAGGCTGGCTTGCAATCGAGGGAGGGGAAAGGCTAGACTCCGAAGCTACCCATGCCAACCTAGAGAACAAGGTTCCTTTCTAGCTTAGCCCACCATCATCAAAGCAGGTCTTTCTTATCAATGCTCGGGCTTCGAGCCTGCCACCCTCCAGAGGATGCCTTCTTATCTGATTAGATAGAATATTCTGCTAACTATTCAACCACCAGCACTGGCTGTGTGGGTGTGCGGGATAAAATCTTCATGAACACGCCTTCACGGGGTCATTTGTTTAATTTCAATTCTGCAGAATGTAAAAATAGAACGAGCTGCCGTGAGGGGTTGAGGCTTGACAGCTTCAGTGCCCAGCCTCCCAATCACAAAAGCCATGCTGTTCTGCTGGCTTCTTTGCTCCCTCCCTCCACCAGAGGAAAAGGGGAGCGAGAAGACCTGCCAGCAAGGTGCTGCTTCGCTATCTCTGTTCTTTTGACTTTTCCTTGTCACATCCTTTCCACATCGTCCCCTCAGCCCATCTGTTTCCTCCTCTTCCTTTCCTTCCTTCCTCCCTCCCTCTTGCCCCTCCCTCCTTTCATCATTTCTATATGCCATTTTTCTTCCCCTTCTTCTTCCATGTCTCCAGCACCCTCATCTGGCCTGCTCTGGTCTTTTGGGGCAGCCTATCTCCAGAAGTGTTGGACCTCACAGACTTCTCTAAGAATTGCCCTCCCCAGCCTCAGTCCTTGACTCCTTCCTTCCCCCTTCCCCCTTCCCCCAGGCACAGACTCTCAAGATGCCTAGAAAGGTGACACTTCTGAGATCAATCAGATCGAATGGCAGATGAGCTGTAGGAGCTGTCTTTTCATACCCCCTCCTCTAGCTAAATGTGTTCCGCATTCAACGGGTGTAGCAGTGCATGGTGGGAGGGGAGCAGGCAGGTGGTACATCATTAGTCTTGTGTTCTGAACAAATCGATTTTTCTGAAGGCTTTTAACAAACTAAAGGCTCAACTTGCACTCTCCAGTTCTGAGCCCTGAAGTCCACCACTGTCTCCAAATTAATTCTATTATTATCCTGGCTCAGAAAAGAGAGACTCCTTCCCCAGAAACCCTAGAGCTGTAGCAAAGCCCCACAAGGATGCTGGAAGGGGAGATGCTGCCTCCTTGGTACCTTTGATGCTTCAGGCAGGTCCTGCCATCTGACCAGGTTTCAAGTTGTTCAAATCTGCTGTTACAGGTGAGACAAACTCGTGTTGTGGCTCCTTCAGCATGCCTAGAACAGAGCTCCTTAGCTTGCCTGGAATAAGGTCTTTGCCGATGGTGCCTATGAGCCATAGGTGATATTCTTCTCTGCTAATGTAGGTCCTTGGAAGCCTTTTCCCTAAAGGCAAAACTCTCTGTTGATTTGAGGAACATCTGAGACAAAGAGTGACTAGCAGATCACTCTTTGGCTCAGCAAAGCCATACTCAGTAGGACTTAAATTCTTGGGGTCTGGGGGGCTGGAGAGATGGCTCAGAGGTTAAGAGCATTGCCTGCTCTTCCAAAGGGCCTGAGTTCAATTCCCAGCAACCACATGGTGGCTCACAACCATCTGTAATGAGGTCTGGTGCCCTCTTCTGGCCTGTAGACATACACACAGAAAGAATATTGCATACATAATAAATAAATATTTAAAAAAAATTCTTGGGGTCTGGTAGTTATCTTACCGATTCATACATCAGACTCCTGCCAGGCGTTCCTTCCATCTAGCAAATTCTCTTTTCACACATGTACACTAACTGAGGCGTCGGCACATTAAGACGACCCTCCAAAAAGGATACACCTCTCCAAAGTCCCATTTCCCAAGATGCACCTCTTCCTTTCCTGTCTGAGACATTGATTTTCTATCTCTCTCCTCTTTAGCAACATCTATTCATTGTGGCTGTGCAGGGCTCACTCAACATTTATGAATAAGATGGGCTCCAGGAGCTTGCTCTAGATTCCAGAGCCTTAAGCATCAAAATACAGGGTATGCGAAATCTAGCAGTCGAAAGACTAATGCATTGCCTTTGCTTCATGTGTACTAAGGTGATAAATCAAGTAGAGAATTTAGTGATTTTATTATCATTTCAAGAATGACTACAATTGTGGTGAATGTGGTCCCTGGTGTACCAGGAGAAAGAAGCAGAAGTGAGAAAGAGATTCCAATTAAATAGAAAGATGCCTGGGAACTAAAAGGAGAAGAGCAGAAACTGCGACAAACCCCCACATGTAAGTATTGCCTTCACCAGGACATGTGCAATGGGCGATCATTTGTAGCCAAACTGTAGACAGCAGCCCAAAGCCACAAACAGCTGGGAACCGCATGCCACCTGTGCAAAAGCAGAGCCAACGGGAGCAGAGACCTACAGCTGGAGCCCAGCTGCTGCCCTGGGGGGGCGGGGGGAGGTGGCGATTTCAGCTGTAAGTCTACAGACTGTAGATGTGTCGGCTGGGAGTCTATGTACCCCAGGCTGATCTCTGAGGACATTAGGAGCTGGCTACAGCCCAAGAGCAAACGGCTGGAAGATGAGAGCAGAGACTAACACTGTCTCCTTACAAAGATGTGATTTTATTCACGATCTGGATCCTAGAAGACAGCTGAGCAAGCAGACATTCGTTTGGCAAACATGGGGTGGGGAGGGGGGAGGGGATGCCAAAGTCCAACTGCTTGTAATATTATCATTTCAACAGGAACTCCAGTGCCTAGCCTCAAACCTACAGGCCCACACGACTTTCGAGTATAAATGGTGAGGAAAACAGAGCCGTCCTATAACCTCACGAGACCCCTGAACCACTATGATTCCAGCAGAACCAACCACCCAAGTTGCAGGTTGAGGAAGAATGTAAAAGAAGGTCACGAGTTGAGTTCAGAGAAGACCTGCTGAGGACCTCCCATGCCTCAGCAGAAGCGACTAACAAAGAGTTCTGTGGAGCCATGAAGCCGGCCTGGATAGAATAGAGGTATGCATTAGAGATGCAATCTTCAAGAGAGGAACACAAGTGGGAGGTGCAGTTGGAAAGGGAGAATGATGTTCCTCTCCACCAAAAAACAAGACTAGATGGCTCAGTAAGAATCCACAGTACTTTGCATTGCCGTCCAACCTTATAAATGCTGGGTAGGAGGTATTTTTGTGCTATGATGCTTCCTAATAAGCTTCTATATCAGATTAGAGCCAAAGAGGGCCCTGGAGGAGGAGGTTGGAATGTAGTGTTTTCAATTTGTGTCCAGTTGCCCCGAATTTCCATGGAGGGGGCTCCAGCTAAGGTCTGCCCCCATGAAAAGCTCCAAGGCAGGAACGTAGCCATGTAGGTCTTGACAAAAGAGAGAGCTCAAGCCCCTGCACCCGTCTCTTTGTCTTTTGCCTGGAGCGATGGGAGTTATGCATCTGCTGCTGTCCTGAAAACATTTGATTTGATTTTTTTTCACAAGCCTTTAGAAAATTATTTACTTGGGGAAAAAATTCAGGCGTTCTTCCAAGCATGTGATATGTACAGGGGCTAGGCCTTGGGTTGAGTTATTACAAATGCACCCCTGATCCCAACCTGGGTGCTTGCACTTAACTGTTTGGTCCTATGTTACCGGGAAGGCACAGGGCCCATCTTGAGGAGCTGTGTGGAGAAAGAAGTTTCTCCAGGCATGTGGCTGACTGGTTTGTTCAAATAGGTCTGGGCCCTAACAGTTTCACTCTAAAGGCCACACCTTCTCACCTCTCCATCTGCACAAGTCAAATCCATGCTTTTCCTGGAAGGATTAGAGACTTCATGAATTCCTAGGTCTAAGTCAGGGGACCCTTCGATTGCTAAGTTTTCCACCCCTACCCCATGGAAGGATGAAAGAAGCTCAAGTCTCCCTAGTCTTGGTGGGTATGCTGTGTTCCTGCCAAGTCTTGAACTTGAACCACGCTGTTACAGTGCGTGTAAGATGGATGGGGCAGCCTTGTGGAATAGGCTCGACCCAGAACAAGGGAAACCCTGTGTTCCAAAAACTTTGTCAGAAAGGCGGGGAGAAGCAGACCCAATCTCCACACCCAAGCCTTCCTCTCTCCACTTGCTCTGTGCACATCCCCAGCACTGAACGAAGAAAGAAGCCAGCTGGCCACTTCCGGAAATTGATGGAGGCGACCTTGCTCAGTGGTTTCCTGGGGACACCAACTCTGGGTGTTTGGACATCTCAGCCGGGCCACAATCCATGTTAATAGCTTTACCATGCCCTCTGGCAACTTTGATGCTGTGCTAAGCAAGCTGGGAATCGACCCATACACACACCTCCATCCCAGTATTTCCCCAGTTCCAGAGGACTCCCTTGTCCTCAACCTGGCACCCAGGTGCGTTCCTCCTGGGACTTGGGTAAATCACGAAGTTCTTACCTAGCTCTGCTGGGGAAGCTGTTCATGTGAATCCCAGGGCGGAGCGGTCAACAGCGTCCGGGACACACCAGAGGTTAGCTACTGCTCAGCACATCTCTCTGCGGGCCTGGCTTTGCAAATAGGAGAGCCAGTCCCATCAGGAGCAGGGGAGCAGGGGCGCGCTGCGTTTAGACACTCCGACTCAAGCCTTTGATCCAGTCGGAGGCACCTCTGGCAGGTGAGTGAGGTGGCGGATTCCGGGTCCCCCTCCACGCTGGGACAGGCTCTGGCTCGATCGAGGGCGGGATCGCACTGCACAAGCTAGTGGAACTCCCCTGCCAGCGCGCTCTCGGCTCCCGCCGTCTGGGTGACTAGGTGTTACCGCAGCACGATCCCTCTTTCTATATATATCCACGGCCCCCTCCCTGCGCGCTGCGCTGTGGCTCGGTGTCGGTGTCGTCCCCGACTGCACCTGGGTGGTTTCTGCTCGCGCCTCCCGCCTCTGTCCCTCTCCGCTCTTCTCTCGCTCTCTTCTCTCTCCTCCCCTAGCTTTCCCTCTCCGGGAGAAGTCTGGGTTCTCCCTGTATTGCCACACTCCCGATACTTAGCACTGCAGTGGAGCTCGACACACGACCAGGCGGTTCCTTTAAAATCCAACTGCTTGGTTCAAATCAGAGCATCAAGTTAGTGCCGAAACCAACGCCAGAAGCGCCACTGCGCTGTGTTTAGGATATAGCAGCCTGTGCTGGGAAAAAGATGCTGGTATTTCATGGGAAGCTATGGGAAAGCGTGCTGAGAAGAGGTATGGCCGAAGTCCACAGGTGACCGGCAGGATCTTCAGGATCCTGTGGCATCCAGACTGACTAGGATTAAAATTAAGTTATTAAAGCCAAAGAATTGCTAGGTTCAAAGCTCTTAATTAACACACTAAGAAAACGGAAGCTCAGAGAGGTGCATTGAAAGCCAGGAACACACAGCTAGCTAGAAAAGTCCAACCCGAGTTCTACCATTGTCCAAAGCATCCAGACTTCCACAGTCGAAAAAGAACGTGTTTGTCTGGGACTGAGTGTGGATGTGACCCCAAAGATCCCCACACAAAGTCCATTCTTTGCGAGCTATCTGGACCTATATAGAAGGTACAATAAGAGGTTGATGGGTTAACATGGCCTCTCATCCAAACCATTTCTAAATCACCTCCACCCCTACTTCCACCAAGACCCTGAGGATGACAGAAACCAAAGGTGAAGCGACTTGAAAGAAAGAAATGACAAATCCCTTTCCATCGCAGATCTCCTGGCACCCAGCTAACAAGATGTACTTCAGAAAATCATTTCCACTTATTTTCCGCTCTCCCCTCCAGCCTTCATGTCGTCCCAACCGTGCTGTAACACAGATATTTTCATATTACCCGCAAAGGAGGGTGCACCCGATTTGCTTCTGTCACCTATGCTAAAGTGTTTCCTGGCAGTGTGGGCCCACACATCAAAGGGCTTTCTGGTTGGAACCCCTAGGGCAGCAGCGTTGACTTCTCTTTCCTGGAAGATGTTATTATCTTAAGCAGAAACCGATCTCTCTCACAAAATCCCTCATGGGCATTAATCTCCTCCCTCTGAAAAACGTTCCTTGGGTCTGGGGTATCTGAGCCCCTGAGCACAGATTCTGATGCCAGGCACACAGTCATCGGGTTGATCTCTTTGGAGAAGGTTGGATATCCGTTCCACCGTTCTGAACACTGAGATCACTCATAGAATACGGAAACTTCCTCTGGAGTTACACTGTACACCAAGAGTCTCACCACTGCCGCATGGCATGTGGCCTTTAAGATGCAGAGTCCGGATAAGAGATGGATCTCCGAGTTTCAAATGGAACTGTTGCTCTATAGGAACCCCCAGCGTCTCGGCTCAGTTAGCTTATGGCTGTGTCTGTGTTTGCAAGACATGGGAAACCATATGTGTCGGTTCTGGGAACTGAAAATGAAAACCTCAGGAATAGAATATCTCTCTTAACCTCTTCCCTGGTTACCAGATGTGTCACCCTGCGCAAGCTCTTTGCCTTTGTCAAGTCTCGTAGGCTTGACAAGATTAATGGAGCAACTGTAGGTCCTCTGGCACTTGGCAAATGGAGAATACATTTCAATTCCCTTCCTTCTCTTTCAAAACTGCCCCAAATCTCTCTCCTGTAGAGCCATCCCCACCTCAGCCCAATCACCCATGATCTGGTTCATCTTCTTCTTAAGATCTTGTTATCTTAGCGTGGTTCATTTAAATAGATTTACATATTTTACACATTCCTTTTCTCATTTAGTGGAAATGAATTAGACATTTGTTTGTTTTGTTGTGGTGCTGGGGGCTCTGACTTAGAGCCTCACCCATCCTGAGTGAGGACTGTAGCACTGGGCTGTGTCCCCAGCCCTTATCCCACCCATTCCAGGCAGGCATGACACTCCTCTTCCAACACTCTTGCACCTATTTTATCTAATTCGGAATTCCCTAAACCTCGGCATGCCTTTTCTTCGATTTGATCTCTCATCACAGCCATGGATGCATCTGTGGTCCTAGGTTTGTTGAGCTAGAAGGAGGTCTAGATATTGTGGAAGTCAGCTTTCTTATTTCACAACTCGGAGCAGACTTGCATGCACTGATAAAACTGGAGTCACAGATGTGCCTTGTTTCTTTATCTTTGCACAGAAAAAAACTATTCCTTGGTGTCTGTTCTATCTAGTTCTTTGCATACTGATCGACGGCACTCAAATAACGGGTGCGACAACCGATTGGGAAATAAGGAGTTAAGTCCACTTCAGCCTCCCCTGCTTAGACCCAGGGCCAGCCTCTGAGGGCTTGGGCTGTATAGGATTGGGATTAGAAGCATAGACTATAGTGTTAGCCATCACTAAGTGTTATCTCCATTTCTCGGTAGCTACAGGATATTGGACAAGCTGCTTAACTTCTTAAGCTTCAGCCCTTTCATTTGTAAAATCAACATGATTACACTGGATAGAAATATTATTTGTCTCAAATCCCTAACACTGAGTAAACGCTAAAATGCTAGTCGTTGTGGGGCTGGAGGGATGGGTGAGCAGTCAAGAGTGCGCGCTGCTCCTGCAAAGGTCCCAGGTTCGAGTCCAAGCACCCAGATGACTGCTGATAACAGCTACTCCAGTTCCAGGAGACCTGACGTCCTCCTCTGCCCTCCATGAGCCCTGGACCCTCATAGTACACATACACACTCACAGGCCAAACACTCATATGTGTGCAAATAAATAAGTAAAAATTGTAAATCTCTAGTAGTCTTGTGAAGAGCGACTGTGGTGGTGGAGGAACAGCTGGAGCACACAGCCGAACACACACAACTCGATGCTGCTGCTGACTCTTATGATCCTAAAGCTCCTAGGACATGGAATGTAGAAAATCCTGTCTTCTCTGTGCTCATCCTCAAGCTGTGGGAAGCCTGTCCTCTGACTTCCAAGAGCTGCTGTGCTCTCCAGTGCTGGGAGGAAGCGAGTAACAGTTTGAGTAAGTTATCTGAAGTACCTCTGTAGTGCATATGTCAGCACACACTCAAAAATGTGCAAGAAGAATGTGAATCATTTCAACACTAAAAGCTTCCCTTAACTGAGCAGCTACTAAAGACGGGCACTGTTCTAAGTGGCTGGTGTTCACTGTCCATCTATGTCTGCATCTATCTACAGTCTTTTAAAAATGCTTTGTTTAGTTTAGTTTGGCGAGCGTATGTGTGCGTGGAATGTGTGTGTGTGCACTTGCACACCTGTGTGTGTGGTATATATGTCTGATATATGCATGTAGATGTGTGGGTGCACAGGTTCCTGAGTTTATAAGTAGAGCCTGGGGAGGGTGTCAGGTGGCGTCCTCTATGGCTCTCTGCCTTATTCCCTCAAGACAGTGTCTCCCACGGGACCACGAGCGTGTTGTTTCGACTAGGCTGGCTGGCCAGCAAGCTGCCAAGGTCTGCTTGCTTCTGCCTACGAACTCTGAGGTTTGAGGCACATGCAGCCATGCCTAGCTTTTTATATGGGTTCAAGAGGTTCTAACAGAGGCCTTCAAGCTTGTCCAGCAAGTGCTGATCCTCGCTGAACCATCTGCCAGTTCCCTTTCTCTTTACCAGTACTTACAGAAAAAGGTATTCACACCCTCGCTATCAAAACTTTAAACACCAAACTTCAGAAAGCTTATGAACTGAGATGAAATCAATCCAAGGACCCAATTAGCAACTGTCCATCTCCCTGCGGCCATTTCAGTGTGAGGGAAGAGCAGACTGGTCACATACTCAAATGAACTCTATGGGACATGGTGGGAACTAGATATAGTGCTGTCTTATTGAGGTCATTTGATAGGATGTTAATCAATGCCCACTTAAGTAAGAAGTGGAGCCAAGAAAATTACTGTCTCAATTGTCTACCCCAAAGCCCCACCGACTAGACCCAGTCTTTCCACATACCACTCCCATTGGCCTATGAACAAGGAAACAGGGTATCTATCAAATAACCAAAAAGGTTGTTTTGTTTTGTGGAATTAGAGTTAACCTCAGGGTCTCACATACACTAGGAAAGCATCCTACTGGAGCTATACACCCAGAAGAAAAGTTAGTTTGTATACATAGAGAAATAAAAGCATAATTTTCTCCTATCTTCTGTCTAAGTGTGTGAAATCTGCACAGTGAGTTCATACCCCTACTTTCACCTAAAACATCCTTCTAGATGCCCCCTTATTGCCCTGTCATCCATCCCCAGGGAAGAATCCACCCTTGTGGCTCCAGGAAGGAGACTGCATCTCCCTGATTAATGGCCGTCCTCTTCATCCTGCGCCCTGGTCCTGTGGCCTCTTGGAGCCTCTGTAAGAACAGGGCTGGCAATAGGAGGTCAGAAGCCCAAAGGCAGCCACAGATAGCTTCAGCTCCTGGTGTGAAACACAGCCAGGCAGGCTATTTTCATTTCCTACAAGATTTGGAGAAAACCAAGTTAATAAGGGGGAAAAGCAAGAGGAATAGAAAAGAGAGAAAAACTAAGGCTTTGTTATTTCCCCAGGCGAGATATGACAAGGAACTTGTGCAATAAACAATGACAACTGAGTAGCTGAGATTGAAGATTGGACAAAACCACTCAAGTGTGTGCTGCCTGTCACTGGAGGAGGTTCCTGTGGCCTTTGCTCAGAAACCCCTGTGTACTGTGGATCCAGTTGCGATTTATGAGAAGCTAGAGTGGAGGTGAGTAAAATACCAACTTTTTGTTTTATTTTTATTACATTTACTTGGTAGGGGCTGGTTTACGTCTGTGTGTGTGGCACTCATGCACACCCATACACTCATGCACACACATGCGCACACAAGCGAGTGAGTATAAGTCCTCACGCGCACACATGGCATACAAGAGGAGGAAAGAGGACAACTTGATAAAGTTAGTTCTCTCTTTCTACCCTGTGGGTCCCAGGCATCCAACTCGGGGCAGCAAAGTTGGCAGCAAGCACCTTTACCTGCTGGGCCACTTGTACATCCTAACCTTAAAAATTATCATAATATAGAAGCTGTTCTATCAAGTGTTAACACGTGAGGCTTTCTGTAATCTTTACAATAATTCTTTAAGATTGGCTTGCTTATCCCTTATAATATAGAAGAGAATTTGGAGTCTTAACAAAGGTTAGATAGCCTGCCCAGGGCTATACACTAAGTATAAAATATGGGAACTCTACCTGTAATGTGTGACAATACTTCCAAAGGTCCTGCTGTTTTGCATGCAACATGTCAATCACAAGTTCACCAGCAGACAACCTTGGAAATCGAGCAATCACTTCTGACTTTTACCTGAGGAAACTGAGGCACAAACCAGCTTGGTATAATCTCATCAAGGTCAGCACAGATAACAGCAGTGTGTCTTGGATCCTGTGTTGATCACATGAGCCCGTCCGTAGCAAACAGGCATGTTTTAGATTGTGGGTGCGTGGTACTCTCAAAAATCAAATCAAAAGACACGTCACTCCTCAGGGGATGCCCCTGAAAACTTACCGTGCTAAGCCAATCACCTGAAAGGCCAAAGCCCCAAAAGGATCCCAGAAGCTCATGGGGTTTCCAGTCACCAGGCGGGATTTCCAAAAAGCTCAATTCCCTCTGCATGTCTCTCTCAAACCTTTGCTCAAGCGTTTGGTTTTCCCTGCACAGAAACACACAGTAAAGTTAAAATAATGGCAGTAACAACGGCACACACTTAATTCAACACTTCTGACCTCGGCACCGTTGGAAGTCTGTGTTTGATTTACTTTCTTAAGCATGAGTCACACTAGGGAAGTTACCACCTCCATTTTGTAAGTGGGGAAATGAGGCTCAGAGAGGTGAAGTCATTTGTCCAATGAAAAGGATAAGCTGGTGAGGACAGAGCCGGGATTTAGTCTGGTGCCAGAAGCATTACTCAAGGCTGCCCAGGATATTGGTAGCTCTAATAGGCAAGGTCCTTGGAGTACCTTCCAGAAAGGAGCAATGAAGGCTCTGGATCAGTACCTGTTTCTGGGGGAGTCATACTATAGGAGCATTCCCACTCCAAAACTGGACCTTGCAGGCATTTGGCTCTTTCCCTCTGCCCACCTACCTTGCTGCCAGCATCACCAGCTGCCCCTTGTCAGCCCAGCACAAAGGGAGGCCAGATTGGCTGGGGGAGGGGCAGTGGGGCTGCTTTGTCCCTCTTGCCAAGTAGGGAATTTCTGTTCCCTTCCCCCTCCTCCCGGGAGCTCCCATCTGGCCTGTATCACCAGTTTTTTTGTGCTTTCAAAGGCCTGCTTTCAAGTGAGGGGAAAGGGAGTCAGTCTCACGAACCAGGCCTGTTAATCCAACCCGCAGCAGCTTCCCTGATTTTGAGCAGCGGTTACTGTGTGCTTCCACAGAAATCCCTGCCAGAGGCCCAGCCAGAGAGGCACACAGGACCTCAGGGGTTGGCTATGGTTTCTTTCTTCCTCTTTCCCCACTGTGTGTCCACATCGAGGCCCACAGTTGACGAAATAGAGACAAAGTAGGTGATGGGAGAAGATGTGCCCGAGGCAGGGGATAAATATAGGCCTGGAGCTCGGCAGGCTCAAGGTACTGTCCAGAGGGGCTACTCACTCTGAGGCTACTTCCCCCCTTTAGACCCCTTGTTCTGACCTCGAACATGAGAGATTTGGATTGAATGGGCCGCGTGGGGTCCCTTCCATTTTGTTTAAGGCAGAAAGATTCCTCAGCTGGGCATTTCCAGAGCGAGGACTGAGAAAGAGCCTTAAGTGGCTACTCAACTCTTTGCTCCTCAGAACTCGCATTTCCAAAGCCTCTCTACCCACTGATGTGACATTGTGACCACAAAACTCCAGAGATTTCTGTGTCAAATTCTCTGGCCCTGGGAATCCCAAAACTCCTTTTTCACTCAACATGGTGAGTTTTTAGACTCGGGGTTCTAAGACTTAGCCCATCCTGGAGTTACAGTCAATCAGCAGAGCTGGTTTAGCTTCAAACCTTCGGGTTAGGCCTTTGTGGCCAGAGTTATACCTCTGAGCGCCACACACCTCCTCTATCTTGGCTTTAATCTTTTGAGCACTACAAAGGAAGAAACCCAAATCCATCAGAAAATAGTGAAATCTTACAGGGTGTCAAGCAATTTAGCCCATCTAAACGTGGTTACTAAACTCTGCCCCACCAAGTAAGTCCCAGAGCAAACGTATGAGACCCAGCCCGTGTCTAGTTCCAGCACTGCTAGGCTACTAGGCTGCTAGAACAGCTGGTCTGAAAACTGCTTCCCTGCAGCGGCTCTGTAAAAGCCTTCCCTGGCTCTAATTTCCTCTGGCCTAAGAGAAATCAAACAAGGCTTAGGAGACACAAGTTGGGGCTGGGAAGAGGGCTCAGTCACTGTGCTCGGTCCCCAGAAACCACATTTAAAAAAATCCACAAATGGTTATACCTGCTTGCAATCTCAGCTTTTGTGAGGTGAGGGCAGGGATTTCCCACTTAAATGTATTTAATGAACCAGAAGTTCTCTGGTGCTGATTTGCTGTGTTCTCAAGGCTGAGTGGTGGAGTTTTGTCTTTGGTCAGTTTCCTGTGTAATACCGAATCCCTCCCTCAGGACTCATGGCTGCCTTGGCTCATGCGCCATAAGAAAACTGGCAGCTTTGTGAATGACGGGGCTGTATTTTCATGGCTTTAATGGCTGGAAGGTCTAAGATGAAGCACCAGCAGGTTCAGTGTCTGGAGAAGGCCTACTTTCTGGGCCTTCACAGATGGAAGCTTCTAGATGTGGTTTCAGGGGCAAGGCATAGAGCACTAATCTTATTCATGAGGTCTCCACACCCATGGCCTAGTTGCTGCCTGACAACCGTACCTGGCCAGAGTAGTGGGGATCAGAGAACTATAACATCAGCCATCGTCTGGTATATAACAGAGGGACTGCAGTATGCAGAAAGGCCTACTGAGTCTCTGGCTACACTATCTATCATGTGTACAGTCTTACTAGGTTTCTTGATCATTCCCATAGCCTCTGAGGCACAGCTTTGTTTACCCTATTTCTTCTATTTGTGCACAGTATTTTTTTTATTACTACCCACAAAGACAGCAGAGACGTGTTGGGGTCTTTCATTAACTGAGCACAGAAAATGTGGTCACCATTACTCCCATTCAGGGTGGAGTCACTCACAGCAGTGAAGAAAAAAGGGATTTCTTAGAAGATTCTGGGGTGCACCTTCTCCTTTTACTAGACCTTTGAAAAAGAATTGTAACCTGGAAGAATTAAATTTTGAAATCTTAAGAGTATAGAGATGCCCAGGGTTACCCCGAGAGATTAACTTCTAGTTTCATCAAAGCTTTGGTGATTGGCTCTGCATTAAGGGCCATTTTTTATTGTTGAGGATCTGGCGTATTTTGTGGACCCCAAAGGATCTTTTTGCTCTGGAGACATAGAGTCATGGTCAATATATGAGAGATAATAATTCCAGCAGACAAATAGGAGTGAACGGCTATAATAAATATCCCTGCTAAAAGAGCCGAAAGGAAGTAAAAACTTGGGGCATCTCTAGAGCACCGGCTGCTTCATAATAGAGGCAGATAATGGAACTCCTTGGCCAGTCTGCAAGAGCATCTTTTAGTTACAGGTGTCAAAGGCGGAGTGTCTGGCCCTTCTCTCTGGCTCCCATTTGGTATGCTGCCCACGTCTGCTCTCAGTGCAGACACAATGGCTTCTCTCTTTGCATTCCCCAAGTCTCCCTGTCACAGAGCCTATTTCCTTCTCAGTTTTCTCTTAACCCAACACTGCCTGCTCCCTGTGCCTCAGAGGCAGAGCAGAGCTGCTTTCTAGGAAGGGCTAAAGAATTATACTTGTGCTCACTGAAGCATGTCCTGTCCTGCCCTGGATGAGGGACATGATTATAAAACAACGATAAAGAAAGGGAACTATTTTCTTTTGAATTCAGCTGTACTTGTTAAGAACATGCCTTGGGATTCTCGGGAAGAGTGAGGCTCCTGAAGGGATCTGTAGTCAGGTAATGCTGAGAGGGTACAGGGTTGTAGAAAGATGAAATACATTGAATAAAATTAAGGAAGGGTTTCAGACACCTGATTAAAGAGAAGAGAATAATCAGGGATATTTGCTGGGATTTCAGTGTGTTTCCCCACAAAGGTAACATGTTGGAAACTCAATGTCAAAACATGCTAATTGTATTTAATGTCAAAACACATGTTAATTGTATTTAGAGGTGGGCCGTTGGGAAATAACATGATTAGGTGAGGCCACAAGAGTTGTAAATCCATGAGGGCATTAGAAGCCTTATGAGAAGGGAATAGAGAATCCCAAGCTGGCCCTACTTGCTCTGTCACCGTGTGATGCCCTTCGCCCCTTCATATTAGCCTTGCAGCCTTCAGAGCCATGAACTAAGTAAACCTTTCTTCTTCATATAAATTACCCAGTCTGTTTGGAGCTCAGTTTTGGCAAATCAAAATAGCTTACAGCAGATGTCTCTGTGAGGAGGAAATCCCATATACTTTAATGAAAAGTGTGTGTGTGTGTGGGGGGGTGTTAACACAGGTTTTATGTAGGAACAGCATCTGAGTGAGAGGGAAGAAACCGGGGTGACACTGTGGCTTGACAGTGGTCCCCACCTTTCATGTGCTAGAATTGCAGTGCTAGGACATACACGCTGAGGTATTCAAGTGTGAGTCTTGAGAGTTGGGGCTGAGGCAGGGAGCAGTAACGGAAGCTTGGCTGAGATGGTTGAACCTACAGACACTTCACAATTAAGAACACCTGGGAGGTCTTCGGCCCATGGCATGAAGCATCTATGCATGACAGAGACAAAGGGAAGAAGGGAAGCAGGGAGGGAGGGGAAAAGGGAAAGAAAGATGTAACTCAGCCTGTTGAGCCAGCACATAAAAGGGAAATTTGGGAAAGTTGGGTAAGAACGTTGAGAAAGCAAAACAAGCCTTATTTTGTGATGTGTTCATTTCTAGGAATAATTAAGAGCAACAAGGATTTGAATTACATCTTCAATGGGAATGAGTTGGCAAGAGCCATGTATTATAAAAATCCTTCGCTAGAAGGTAGGTCTTGAGAACAGCGTACTAACTGAAAACTCTCCTGGGGCATTTTGCCAGGTCCCAGACAGAGTAGAATTATGGAACAGCACATGAAGGCTAAGGCCAGCACCTAAAGCAAGAACCCCGTTATGAGGCTGAAAGCAGAAGGAAGAGTCCAAAGGCTGAGGATCATCTGAGGTAACATGCTGTCTGAACTGGGCCAACCACCAGACACTGGCCTCTGTTGAGAAATACCTCTTAATCCAAGTCCTGCCACATGGGAAGACTGAGCTATTGGTATGTTTTCCCCTGATACAGGGGCCTGGCTTCCACACTGGAACCTGTATCCCTGTGGATGGCAGCCTGTATGTGTGCCTCTAGAGGCCACAAAAGTCAGTGAAGGGGAGCAAAGCAAACTTTGACAATGAGGAGTGTGTTCCCCAACGCATTCCTGCTAAGAACTGAAAGGCCTTGCGGGAAACATCATTTCAGAGATGAGCAGGCTCCCAAGGGAAGAGAGAAGAAAAAGCTGGATGTGAGGACACGCTCCTGGGAGGGAGAAGTTGGAAGAGGCAGGGCCTATGTCAAATGACTCATAGAGGATCCCCTGGCCCAGCACTTTGAGGTCCTAACTTCCCAGCTCTTTGGCTCATTTCCAAGCTCGGAAAAGCTCTCTTAGTAGCCTGTCTCTATTTCTACCATTATTCATGTGTTCCCGGTACAATTAATTATTTGTTCCTGAACGCAAGAACCTGGAAATCCTACTGGGGGCTTCCAGACCTTTCGATCTGTGCCTGTAAGAAGAGCTGCCATGTTGGCACCTTGGTCTCAGATGTCCAGCCTCCAGAACCAGAAGAAAGATATTTCTGTTATTTAAGCTATTAAATATCTCATACTTTGTTACAATAGCCTGAAAAGACTTAGGATGATGGATAGATGATAGATAGGTAGATAGATGATAGACAGACAGATAGATAGGTAGATAGATAGACAGATAGATGCATACATACATACATACATGCATACATACATACACACATGCATACATACATAGTAGATAGATACATAGATAGATGTGTGCGTGGGTAGGTAGATAGAGAGAGAGATGGATCTTTATTAGGTACAAGTCCTTTACAAAATTTATTCTTTGCAAATATCTTCTCCAAGTGTAAGAATTAGCATTTCATTTTCTTTTTTTGTTTGTTTGTTTATTTCCTTGTTTGGGGTATTTTGAGACAGGGTCTTTCTACATAGCCATAACTATTCTATAACTCATTATATAGACCAGGCTGGCCTGAAACTCACAGAGATCTGTTTCCCTATGCCTCCTGAGTACTGGGATTAAAGACATGTGCCACCACTTCCCGGCTAAGACTGTCTATCACATTTTTTCTTAACACATTTTATTGTTTTATATTTTATGCTTAGGTCTATTTTTCACTGTGAGGCTTTTTAATGTGAATGTGAGATAAAGTATGGGTTGAAGTACTCTTTTGCATATGGGTATCTAATTGCTGTTTTAATTAGTGTAGCTGTGAACAAGCCTTGAAGTCATGGGATGTTAGTCTTCTGCATTTGTTCCTTTATCCCCCAAAGCTTTGTTCTGGTTCCGCAGTATTTCTAAATAAAATTTGGAATCCCCTTATGAGTTTCTGTAAGAAAATTCTGTTCTGGTTTTTATTGGGGTCACACTGATGTCTACATCAAAGGGGACACTTACTGTCTCAGCAATGCTCCATCCTCTGGTCCTTGAACAAAGCACATCTCTGTGTCAAGGTCCTCACTATAGGAAAGGTTTTATAGTTTTCAAAGAGCAGGACCTTACACATTTTGGGGTCTTGTTTACACTTGTTTTGTTCTAAAATGTGGTTATAAATGAAATATTTTATTATTTCAGTTTCCAAATGTGAACTATTAGTAAACACAAATCCAGCTGCTGGTTATACATTAGCATCCTGACAAACTTATTTCTTACCTTCCCAGTTCTAAACAATTGTGAATGATTGTTTTGTGCTTTGGGGTTTTAGTTTTTGTAAACTCCATCAAATTTTCTATAAAAGTCTCATTTCTTCCAAAACATTTTAGAAACTAGATGTGGGAACACAAGTCTATAATCCCAGCACTCATGGGGGCAGAATGACCACAAATCAGCTGGGCTACATAGTTCATCCTGTCTCAAAAACACAAACATTTTTTATCTAATTTAGCATAAATTATATTTTTTTTGCCTATTCCTTGGACATTCAGAGAGGTAATGTTACAAGTCTTGCCTGTTCAGCGTCTGAAAGACCAAAGCTGAGATCCTAGCAAAGCCAGCAGAATTTCATGAATTGAAGACATTTTATTTATATTTAACTTTTTGGCAAAACAGAAACTTTGGTCATAGTTCTATAAAAATGTTTAAAAAGATGTATTTCTGATTAAAGTACTATTTTAGCAAGTGACGCATAAGTGTCAGATATATCAGTTTTATGCTCCTGTGTCAGTCACATAGTGTTGTATAGTGTGTGGCAGCCCCAAACCTCAATAGCAAGCAGAATTAAATGTCTGTCTCTACAGATCCTGGGCCTGTAGGGTGGACCTCACCTCTCTGCAGTGAGCTGGTTGACAAAGACGTTCTTATCTGAGCTAGGCTGAACTCTTGCACGCCATCATCTGGGTGGTGGCTGATCTATGGTAGTTGAGACCAGTCCTACAACTCTGTTATAATGTCCGCTACCTTCTAGCCAGGTCAGCATCTTCTCAAGATTGTACCAGAAGACGAGAGCAGTTTTTCAAGACTTTGGAAGACATTTCCTAATATCCTCATTGATCAAAATTATGTCAAAAGCCAGAATCATAGGAGGAGAATGTTGGAGAGTTACATGACAAGGGGCATGGGTGCAGTAGCCATGATAATTAATGTGTCAATACAACCAATAGCAGTTAGAGCAAAGAACTAGTTAGTATGGACGACAACAAAGGAGAGCCATACATCCAGTATCTTCTCCCACAAGCAATCGCGCTTGCGTTTTACCTCTGGCAGTAAAATAGCGAAGCTTGCCAGTTGGTCTTTGCTTTGGAAAGGACTGAGGAGATTACAGGAGAAAGTAAAGAATGGGTACTGAATGGACAAATGCTTAATTTTTAGGAAATTCCTCAACTACAGAGAAGACCAGGAATCCACTGCACAAATGGATTCCAGTATATAGAATATTAGGTATTAATTGGAATGTTTTGGGTGAACATGATAGACATCCAAGCGACAACTGATATTGTTGTTCTACTTTCTCTTTGCACCTAACTTTGAATCTGTCCCTTAATCAATGGACTGGACAACACTAATTGGCCAGCCTGGTCTTGAATTCACCATGTAAGAACTCTGTGTACCACAAACACATAGCATCTGTTAATTTAAGAACACTTCTGTCACTTGGGAATCGGTGTTCCAAACTGCTCAGTATATATGTCCTGTACCTCAACATCCATGCCTATTAACAATGCCAACTTCGTCTTAACCCTATGTCTTGTGGGCACCCTATTCCTGATACTACAGCTAGATAACACTTTGGAGTAAGCAGATTTCAGGGGCAGAAACACCAAGGTAAGAGAAGTAATGCCTGGCTAATTATACATATCTTTAAACTTCTATTACTGTGTGATATCCTTACTCAGGTGGAAAGATGCTGCAGTTTGGTTCTTAAAAGTCCCCTCCTTCAAAAACCCCATGTTATAGGAACAGAGTCAATTGCCTCACGCATCCCTCTTCCTCAGTCTTTTATCCAAGCTACCGTGAAGTGATCAGCTTGTTCTGCCACACAACACCGTGTTAGACTGCCTCACTAGAAGTTCAAAGCAGTAGGACCAACCAATCATACAAAGGTATGACACAGAATAAGCCTTCCCTCTCTTTCAGTTGGTTATTTAAGATATTTTGTTATGCTAATAGAAAGCCAACAAATGCTGTAGATTTTAGCCTAGTGAAATATTTTCCAGTAGTGTTAATTGTTCATTTTTTCTTATGTATGTGTGGTGCATGTACTTGTTCTTGAGTGTGCATATAGGCATGTAGGTGCACATGCATGTGTGTAGAGGACAGAGGTCAGCACCAAGTATCTTCCTCCGTCATACTCCACGTTGTGAGACAGGGTCTCTCACTGAACCTGGAGTTCAACAATTAGGCTAGAGTGGCGGGCCAGCAAGCCCTATGATCCTTTGTGCCTCTGCCTCTCTAGCATTAGAGCCACAGGGGAAGACCATCTGGCATTTATGAGGATGCTGCTGTCTGAACTTGGGTACTCATCTATTCACGCTTGTGCAGTGGGCCCTTTACATCTGAGGTGTCTCTCCAGCCCTAATTACCCATTTGATTTCTCTAGACATTTCACTTTATGATTCCATGGCTACTCATAAGTTAGCTCTATAATTACAAATTCGAGACTAGAGCAAGGGAATATTTTATGACATTAAATAATTTATACCACTCTCACATATTTATATCTATACTTAAGTGAGTATAGATTAAGTATAGATATAAACATAAATGAACCATGCTTACAATGCAATATTGATTCTCTCTCTCTCTCCTTATCTCCCCCTGCCCTTTTTCTTTAGTTTTTGAGATTCAGCCTTGCTGTTAAACCTTGCTGTTTAACTAGTAGATTTGATGTCCCAGTTTGCTTTCTTTTGTTGATATAAAACAAAAGCAACTTGGTTACAAAAGCAACTTGGAGAGGAAGGATTTACTTCATCTTAAACTTGACAGTCCATCATAAAGGATGCAGAGACCACGGGAAATGGCTGCTTTCTCTGTATATGTATGTCTTTCTTCCTCCTCTCTCCCTCCCTCTTTTTCTCCCCTCGTTCCCCTTTCTTTGAGAGGGTCTCATGTATCCTGAGCTAGCCTCATATGTAGCTGAGGATGACTTGGAACTCATGTCTTCCTCCCTTCACTTCCCAAATACTGGGATTACAGGCACATACCACTACTCCCAGGCTATGCAATGAGGATCAAAATCAGGGTGTTGCCAGGAATACACTCTGCCAACCAAGTTCATATTAACTGCATCCCCAACCCTGTCCTGATTCATCACCTATGCAACCAGACGATCTCTGAACACTTGAGCTGTAAATATTTCTATTTTTTATTTAAGAATGCTGATAAACTTTTTGTATATTTCCCAACATGCTGAAATAGCTTCAGTTCAAAATTGGAACTTATGTTTGGTATGTGGATTCTCACAGCATGATGAGCATTTTAGAGGGGAAATCAACATCTTTGAAAAGTTGCATAAAAGAATCTCTCATTTTACATATACTATTTACATTTTATGAATATACATTCAAACTTTATATCTTTTATTACAATCACATTTTATTCTATTCATTTAGATGAGAATTAGCAAGCTATGCAAACTGCAGCCTACAGCTGACTGCTTGTTTACATAATGAAGCTGCTAGCACACAGCCTCATTCATGTATTTATATACTCTATGTAGCTGTTTGCTTAGAGCAACAGCAGAATGCAGCAGTTGTGACACAGACCACATGAGAAGAGAGCATACTTCTATCTTGCCCTTTAAGAATAAAATTTGCAGATTCCTGCTTTAGATAATTACCAATAGAAGATAAATTGTGCTGTGGGACAATGGCTTTACCCTGTAAAGACTTGTTTCTTGTACTTGTTTAATAAAATGTTGATTAGCCAGTAGCCAGGCAGCAAGTATGGACGGGGTGACCAGACAGGAAGTAGAGGCAGGGCATTGAGAACAGAATTCTGGGAAGAGGAAAGTGAGTCTGCAGCCCTCATCCAGACACAGAGGAAGCAAGATGTGACTGCCTCACCGAGAAAGGTACCAAGCCACATGACTAACACAGACAAGAATTATGGGCTAATATAAGTTATAAGAGTTGATAAGAAGCCTGAGCTAATAGGCCAATCAGTTAATAATTAATGTAGGCTTCTGTGTGTTTATTTGGAACTAAACGGATGTGAGACTTGGTGGGACAGGAACCTCTGTCAACAAAATTATATGAAAACATATTCATTATAACATAATTCTGATTCTGCTAGAATGAAAAGCAAATATATTTCAGTGTAATAAACAGTGATGTGATTTATAAGATACACATTTTACTGGATATTGTTGGTTCTTCAACATAGGCATGCAAATTTGATTATATTAGATATTTGGCCAACTTTGGATGCTACAAGACCATGGTTTTGCATATCATGTTCATTTATGACATTCAGAAAGTAGTGCTATGTTTTGTGTTATGGTTTTACCTAGTTGTTTGTTTGCTCAATCTATCATTTTTAAATAGTGAGGTATTCCATTTTAACTCTCACGTGGGTCTCGCAAATGATAAGGATAAGACCAGGGTCGAACAACCAGGTCTGCAGCACACTCCGACCCATGGTTGTAGACAGAAGGAAAAGGGAATCCACACGAGCTATAAACAGCAGGTGTCAGTTAGAGCCATTGGTTTGCTAACAGGAACTCTTTTAGCTGCTTCTGATCCCAAACGTGAAGGCAATGGGAACAGGGAGGTCACGTATGGGCCTGTGGAAGAAAAGGCAGGTAAGAGTCTCATAGTGTCCACTGTCAGTATTTGATCAGAAGCTCAATGGTCATTCAAGGGCCCGTGGCTGGGAAGTTTGCAACAGGAAGGAGGCTAGACTAGGGCAGCTGGGTCAGTAAACTGTTATTGGGACTGCTTATGGGCCAAGCTCTGCATGAACTCCCATGATTTGGGCTTTTTTTTTTTTTTGAATGGCCAATTGAAAACACTGGAGTGTCCGAGTGGTCCCCACTGTCCAAATGTACACCGTTCAGAAACAGTGGCAGGCAGACGAGAAGGCCTGCTATTAAGAAAGCCCTTGGTCTATTTCTACATCAGAGACACACAGCCTCCAACTCTGCCACAGTAGGAGGTAACCCGGGAAGTTACTGAGGACAGGCAGCCTCTGGCCTTGAGAATTCTACAGAGGAGGATTAAGACGGTTCTGTAACACAGATCCTCCAGATGTAATTTAATTTTCTCCAATCAGCCGAGCAAAGGCAAAAGGTGAAATCTTAACAAATTAAATTAAGATGCAATTTAGGGTACTCTGAAAAGCAGATTTCAAGGCCCGTTTTTCTCTGCTTTCCTCTATGAACCAGGGGGCAGGGAAACATGCATCTGCTCTGAGCAACGTTACCGATCCGAAGTTTTCTGAAGGAAATAACGGAAGGGAAGAGTCACCAATGTGACTAAACCAACGATCCTGTATCTGCTTCTGGTTAAAGCATGAAGGAAACTTGGAGGTCACCTTGAAAATTCCTTCAGTTCCCAGGAAAATTAAATAGATGTTCTCCGATTATTCAACATTTGGGGGAGCAGGTAAGAGTCTACAACCCAGATCTATGAGGTTTCAATCTGAGTACTCTTAACGGTGCCACTCAGTGTTCTGGAAACAGCAGCCTGGAAACGGTTTCTAGGCGATCCTCTCTGGGCGTTTCTAGGCGGTTTCTAGGCAATCCTCCATTGTCCTGGGATATTGGTTGTATCAAAATATTGTGTTCTGACTCTGACTTTTTTTTTAATTATTCAACCTTTACTTGGACACTTTCTGGTTGTTGACCTCTCATTTTTGCAAACATCGCTCTAATCATCTACACAGCAGAGGTAATTACTGGCCAGCTTTGCAGGGTTGTCTAAGGATTGTGGAAGATAAAATATGCAAAACTCTTCACAAATTGAGAAAGTGTGCACAAACGGTGCAAAATTTTAGAGCTTTTTACATTGTTTGTCAAAAATTTTCTCATGGATAAAGTCCACATTCTTTAAGCTATGTTTTCTCTTATTCATTCAATATTCATCCACATTTATAGCTCCTCCCCCATGTGTGTGCGTTTCTAAGGATGGAACCCAGTTGCTCATGCTGGGCAACTCTTGTATCTCTGAGCTATACCCCTAACACTCAGGCATCTCTTAGCTATCAGAGCCATTATATATAATTAATAGAGCTTCAAAGATGAATGAGATAAAAGCCAGTCCGGCAGGATCTGTAGCAAATGTATCCATAAATACAATAGAGGATGCTTATGTAGATATAAGCATTGTGGAAACCACAGAATGAAGAGATGCCCAAGAGGCCCCACCCCTTCCTGATGAGCTAATGGCTGTAAACAGTTGAGGAAGAGGGCATCATTTCCTCTAATGGTATAACCATTGGGGGACTAGGTGGAAAAAAAGAAGGCTCAGAAGGAAATGAAGAGATACCAGAGGGTGATGGGGTGAATATCATTAAATACAATGCACGGTATGTATTATGAATCACTCAAATGGACAATGGAAACACACATGAACTAGCCTAAGAATACTGCATAACAGAAATAATCGTTTTAATCCAAAACTCCAAGCAGGAGAGGTAAGAGCAAATAAAGGTGAAAATGTGTGTACCCCAAAAGGTTATTAACAGATTTCTGTGCTTTGACCAGGTAAGTTTCCTCGAAGGGGTTGCTACATAGCTGCAGCATTAGCATACACTATTGTCCTTGAGGATAACCTCTAACCTCCACACTTCCACCCTTTCTTAAAACCTACACAGCGGCCCATCAAGATAGGTAGAGTAACTTAATAGGCAAAAAAAAAAAAAAAAGAAAACTTGCCTAAGATCATATACCTGATAAATATTAAAGTCAGATTTTCAACTTAAATCTCTGTATCTCTAAAATATGACTTAATACACCATGAATTTCTCCTGAGCTAGAGAAGTCAGAGCATGGAACTTAAAAAGCCAGTGAAATTGCTTTATTTGATATATTAGGAGAACTTCTAATGGATTTTAGGGAAAAATCAGCCTGTGGGGTCATGGTAAAGAATGGCTAGAACAGGGAAGAGGTTAGAAAAATGAAACCCAGAAGGACTTCTGAAACTCCACGTTCATTCTCACTCTGTGGCCATAGACCACTGTGAGATAAGACATTTAGCCTCTCACACAGCAGAAAGATCAGAGGCACAGCAGGGCTGGGGAATGGTTCTTCAGTGGTTCATCAAGTTGTGAACTTTTCCCCTGACTTTACTCCACAGTCTGCATTGCCTGAATATAGAACAATCTAATCCCATGTAACCCAGCAGGAGGGGTCCATTCTCCTGGATGTTGGAGTTATTTGGAACCTGCAGAATAATCAACTCCAAAAGGTGAACATTTCTGCCAGGCTGCTTGCAGAGTGGCATGCTAGTGGTTCCTGGGCAAACCAGTGTGCTCAAAGTTCTGGCTCTTCCCTAGAGTGGATTCCCAGGATGATAGGTGAGACAGAAAGAAACAAAAGAAAGGGAGAGGCATTGAAACAAAACGTGCAAACACTTCAGGACCTCGTGAGAAAGAAGCATGCTTGGGAAAGCATTTCTGGAAAGTACTCTCAGAAATCCACAGGCTTAGAGTGAACAGCAAATATTAATTGTGTGCTTGCAGTTACTGCTCAGTGGTTGAGTGCATCTCCAGAATACATGTGGGCCTGGGTTCCATTCCCAATCCAAGAAAAAAAAATGTTGACTAGGAATACGGTACTTTTAACAAGGAAAGTGGACCCATAGATGTTATGCCCAGAGTGCATCGGGCATCAGATGAGGCTGGGATCAGATGACTCTGGCTTGAGTGGAGATGCAGAGGTCGTTAGAGGTAAAAGCCTGACATTGCAGCTCGGAAGAATAACCAAGGTATTTGAACAATATTTTGTTATGCTATTATTGTTATGCTACGTTCTTAGATATATGAAATATTTAAAAACTTGAGGACTTGGATTGATATATGTGATGGTTTGAATGAGAATGGCCTTCACTGGCTCATATGTTAGAACCATGGTCCCAGTGGGTGCAACTGTTTGGGAAGGACTAGGAATTATAGTCTTGTTGGAGATGATCCCAGTTGGTGTAACTGTTTGGGAAGCACTAGGAATTACAGTCTTGTTATTGCCCTGTTGGAGATGCTTAACCAGGGGAAGACTTTGAGGTTTCAAAGACTGCAGCCATTTTCAGCGGTCTGTTTCCTGTTTATAGATCCAGATGTAAGCCCTCAGCTGCTCCTCCAGCACCGCGCCCACCTGCCAGTGGCCATGCTTCCTGCCACGGTGATAATGGAGTCTACCCTCTGAAATTTTAAGTCCCAAATAAACTTTGCCTTCTGAAAGTTACTTTGGTCATGGCGTTTTATCAAAGCAATAGAAAGGAACTAAGACACTCTCTGGAAAAGTGTTATTTCGGTCCTGTTAAACTGGCAACAGTCAGCAAAGGCACTGAAACAGAGGAAGAATTTGTCTTCATTTAATTATCTTCCTAGGGAGAATATTTTTAGAAGAAAAATTGTCATCCCAGCCTGTGGAAATAAGTGTTGAAGTAGGGCAACAACAAACAATACAAAAGATTTTAAAACGAGGAAAAAAGAATTAGAGAAAAATCTGTAGAGCCAGTACGATCGCTGGAGGGTCAAGCGAGTCTAAAGTGGATGTAAGTCTCTGGGCAGAAGAGAAATAAAGAAATCAGAGAACGGAGACAAGTGATTTCTCTCCCGGCTGGAAGGTAATTGCAGGAGTGCAGCTTTCTGACAAGAGAACTTATTAAAGATGATTAAATCGATGTTAGCAATCTGGGGGTTGGAAAGATCCAGGTTGAAATGAGCAGCGAGAATTGGAAAGCTGAAAAAAACATAGATTGGTCCTGGGCATACAGGCATGGGAAGTCATCAAATCTTGGATCGCCAACCATACGATGTCATGTGACTGAGTGTGAACTATCCAGAAATAAATAAAGCAGATGCTCTTTTCTCCAGGGAACCATCTACACTGAATGGCTAGTTCAAGTTGTACGTGGTGAGTGAGACCAAAAATGACAAAGAACAGAGAATCCTAGCGGGAACTAATCCCTGTAATAGCAGAGAAGGGATGTCACTGGAGAACTCAAGAAGAATCAGGGGAATGGGGAACTTTCACAGTCTGAGAAGGTGCTGTGCAGGCTGCTGGGAGAGGAAACCCAGCTCAGCATGCTGCAGTACTGACCTGCCGAGCAAGCTGTATCCACTGGACAATAGTGGCAGGAACATTATATCAATAACCAGTTGTGTTGGTATTAGGTTTAAGGCCTGTTTTGTGGAAAGGAATTGAGGGCTGGTACTATAAACCTGGATAAAAGTCCAAGACTTGGCCCTAAACTGGAGCATACTATTGCTGTTCTGCTGAATGATATGTTGTCAAAGTGACTTCTAAATACTTATACCCATGGATTAGTACAGCCACCCACCTGGCCAGAGAAGCTTCTCTTGGCAGTTACCACCTGCTAACACCAGGAATCCTAACTGGTCAAAGTGCTGAGAATGGCGGTCTATCGAGTACTCAGGTCTAAATGGCTCATCTATATCCACTTCTACCCTACAGACTCTGGCAGCATCATGGGAGAGGAATGGGCAGAATACAAGAGTCAGAGGATGCGGAAGAGTGCTGTAACATGCTGGCTTTCAGACAGGGTGCCTTAGTGACTTTCCTATTGCTGTGAAGAGATTCTCTGACCAAGATAATTTACAGAAGAAAGAGTGGATTTGGGCTGAAAGTTTTAGAGGGTGAGCCCAAGGCCATCGTGTCAAGAAGCAGCAGGCAAGCAGGCAGGCAGGCAGGTATGGCTCTGGAGATTTAAACTAAGAGCTTACTCCCTTGCTCCACAAGCATGAGGCAGAGAGGCCAGTGACCACCTCCCCCAACAAAGCCACACCCCCTAATCCTTCCCAAATAGTTCTTCCCAGTGGGAAACAGGCATTCAAACATGTAATCTTACTGGATCATTCTCATTCAAACCACCACACACCTTGTGGCTATCACACCCATGAACTCACTCTAGCAATGCTTACCTGTACAAGATCAACTCAACAAGATTAGTCAGTATTCCAACAGGCAGCACTAATGGGATTCAGGGGGTTATTAACAACAACATAACAACAACAACAAAAGAGGACATGAAGTAGGGAGAAAGGTATTGGGGTGCCTAGGGAAGTGAGAGGAATAAATTAGGGGTCTGGGAGGCGTGAGAGGAGTTGGGGGTATATATAATCAAGATGTGTAGGAGGCACAGAGGTTCGTGTGCTCACAGGCAAGCACTGGGAGAACCTGAAATATTAACACACAAGGTTGTTCCTTCAGGCTGGAAGTGGGTATGCATTCTAGCTTAGTCACCTTTATGCTAACTGTGTGGCTGGAGACCACACTGGATTCTCCCCCCAAGCCCTTATCATAAGCTTATTTTTCTCAGTCAATCTATAGACGCTTTCTTTATGGAAGCTGCTGCGTATAATTTATAGAGAGTTCCAATGTCGTCACACCTGGGCTTTATTCTGCTTATTTTGCTCCTCAAGGAGATTTACATGTTTTACTGTGCACACTAGATTGAGTTAATTAACACCAGGAAAGCTTTTTCCAACTTGTGCACACTTAAATATTCCTGAAATAAATCACTCGGGGTCAAACTCCCAAAGTTTGAAGCAACACCACCTACTTAATCATGCTGGACTGAACCGCCTTCTTGCTTCCCGAGTATCGTTACTCTGCTGGCCATGATCTTCACAGAAACCCCTGTAAAGATGTATTGTTTGCATACATGAAATTGTCAAAGAAAAAATAAAAGATTTTTGTGCAAAAAAAAAACAAATAAGGAGGAGGATATAGTAATCAAAAAGACAAATTAAAAACCATAAAATCACAACAAAATAGTGGTGTGGTATGTTCCAGAGGGAGAGAAAAAAAATTGGCATAAAAAAAAAATCCACCGGATTTAGCGATTAAAACATATGTAGGATCTTTGGGAATGAAATTTAAGTTCCATTGTGAAAGACTAAGAAATAATGGGATGATGAGAGAGTGTGCACCAGCGGGACAATTGGAAGATGTTTCTCCCCCATGAGTCCCTTGCTGCATTGACAGAAGGGCCGGCATGCTTGTAGAATGGCTATGTGGGGAGAGTAGACGGTTGGTGAGTTAAATTCCCAAGAATTTCATGGCTGAAAATGTGGAGTGCTTTGCAAATCATAGTCCCGTTACCATTATGGACTCAGTAATAACGTTGAGTTTCCCCATAATAGCAGTACTTATAGCCCCACTCAAGGCCGAGAGGAGACTTTCCATCTCAGATACACTTTGTAATTATTAGTTAAGCAAGGCTTCTTTCTGTGTGTGCGCCTTTTTAAATGATCTGATTACGCTTTTATCTTTCCCCCAGAGAGCTAATCAAATATGTGATAAAACCACTTAGAACCACATTATAAATTTCCTTCCTTCCTGTCTTCTCTCCCTCTCCCCTTTGGTGATAAAAATGTGCTGTCTGTCCAAGAACAGAACAAAATGGGCAAAGCACTCTCTGCTAACCAGTCTCTCCTTTTCATTATGATGCCTGTATTTAGTATATCCACTCTATGACCTGAGCCAGCACCCTGGATTTTAGTGGCACCCCGTGATAAGGAAGCAGAAATTGTCCTCCAGATATAAATTAGGTCTGAGATTAGCACTGTGGGTCCCAGACCAAAGTTTCTTTCGTTTCGTGAAACAGTGGTAATAAACACCTGGTGCGGTTCTTCATGTGTCTACTGCTTGGGAACATAAACTTGAATTGAGGCATTCATGTTTGAAATATTTCAAACGGGAGTGAATCTGGTGGGTGGCCCAGCTACTTTTGGTGCCATTGTCATAACACATATGCTAGGTGATGGACAGTTCACTGGATCCTGAAGATGGTTCTGAGGCATAGGAAGCCCAAATGGGTCTCCTGATGTGGTTGGTACTAGTTTTGCCAATTCAGAACCAAACTAAGCCCTCTAGATCCTATAAATATTAGGTTTTGTTCCTCAAGTCCTAAGTCCTTCAATCCATCAGTGTGATTTAAGCACCTACTGTCTCAGACGCTCTCTCTGAATGCACTAGATTTTTGTCCTGTAGTCTCACTCTGTCGCAGAAGGCAATCTGCAGTTAAGGTTTCTATTGCTGTGATGAAACACCATGACCATGCCAGCTCCTTAAGGCAAACTTTTAACTGGGGGTGGCTTGCTTACAGTTCAGAGGTTCCGTCCATTGTCGTTGTGATGGAAAGCAAGGCAGCATGCAGGCAGAGGTGGTGCTGGAGTAACTGAGGATACAACAGGAAGTTGACTCAGACACTAGATGGTATCCTGAGCACAAGAAACCTCAAAGCCCGCCCCCACAGTGACACACTTCCTCCAACAAGGCCTTACCTATGCCAACAAAGCCACACCTCCTAAGAGTACCACTTCCTCTGAGATGCTGAAGGTCAATTACACTCAGACTACCACACAGTCCATACTCTGCGGCTGCCCTGAGAAGGGTCAGGGAGAGGGTACAACCATGTCCCACATTTGAGATCAACTCTGTACTGCTCTGAAAGGGGCCCTTCCAGGCACATGCTCTCAATAGTTTCCTCACTGCTACAGAACACATCTATGTTTGCCTGATGCGTTTGTATAGACTTTTCCTCACCTAATAAATTCATTCAACTACATTTTGTGTTCCACTCACACACTCATCTCTTGAACTCCTAGATTTAGCCATATTTATCAGATATACAATGTCCACTCATTATCAGCTCTGTGTACACCATCATGCCGGTCCCCTTAGAAAGATCCTTCTCCTCCTCCTCTTCCCCTCCCTCTGCTCCTCCTCTTACTCTTCCTCCTTCTCTCCCTGTCTCTGTATGGGGGTCCACGTGGGGAGACCAGAGGAGTATGTGGGGAGTCATCCTCTATTGCTCTCTACTTCATCGCCTTTAGAGAGTTTGTTGTTGAACTAGGAACTCACTTTTTTGGTCAGACTGGCGATCCACTGAGCTCCCAGAATACACTTATCTCTGCCTCTCAAGGCTGGATTGCAGGCACATTCAGCCATACCCAGCTTTTTATATGTGAGTGCTGGGGATTTGAACTCCAGTCTTCATGCTTATACAGCAAGGACTTTGTCCACTTTTTCTAAGAGGCCATTTGTTCATTTCCTGGCCACCAGACTCCTGAAATAACCACACAGAAACTGCATTAATTAAATCACTGTTTGGCCTATTAGTTCTAACTTATTATTGGCTAACTTCTACTTCTTAATTTTACCTATTTTCATTATTTTATAT